AAGCTGCCCTCAGTGTCCACAGCTGAGCACGTTTTCGAAGTCTCTTTAAATACTCAATCGGCAGCTCAGCACCTCAGGACCAGTGTTGAACTGGTTCAGATGAGCCTGACAGTCTAGCTCTTCTCAACAGGTCTGAGCCAGTGCACCATTTAAAAACCCCTTGGGAAACTATTACGCTTGCTGCATTATTAGGATTTGGGTGCAACATACAGTATATATTAAAAGCACATTAAGAGTATCTGCCAACTAACAATAAATGAATGTTTCACGGATTATACAACAGTTCTGTCATCATTTATCTCACAGACTCCTGATTCTCCTACTTCTACTTATACATTAATTCTGTCTCTGTTTTTTAAGGTGCTGGTTGCATTTGCTTGGTACTGTTAACATATATGCATACCAGGGCCACTAATCCAGAACTTACTCTGAGCCACTTCAGCCTGTCAGCTCCATAGTGAGTTAACTGACGCGTGACAGAGGTGTAGGCAGGAACAAGGAAATGCTTGAGAAATACCGGTTTAACCAACACAGTAGATTCAGCTATGATGCAACTGTGTCTGTAACAGCATGAGGCTGCCTCTAAAAAGAAGCAGGAGTTTTTCACAGAAGTTATTTTGAGAGCCTGCTGTGAACTGGCTCAGCATTTTACTCTCAGTTTTGCTGGAACATGCTGGGCCCATTCCCAGCACAAGAATGTGTTACGTGTCACCTGTACTACAATTACAAACACAAAGATATGACACTGGATGAGGCAAAGACTAATCGGAGCTGGAAGGCACAACTTTATAATGAATCATTGAGAGAGAACTTTTTCCCCAACTTGGTACAAGTTAGAAATGAGTTCAGGTGTAAATTCTGCTTTTCCAGCAGAATACAGCAGCATGAACTTCATGGTAACAGAGTCAGAAGTTAAATAGAGGTTTTTTAACACATGAATAATGGTTGCTCCTTTCCAGAGTTTGCAAAAAACCTGTTATTTGTTTCAAATTCAATGAAAGGAATCAATCAGGAATCAATCCTACAATTCTGTAAACCAGCTTTCTGCACATTTAGAAAACAAAACTACACACAAGGTAAAGCCACCTAAAATCCTTCCCACCACATTTCGAACAGTTTACGACTTTTTTACAGCAAATTTGACATTGCCTAGGAATTCCAACAAAATCAGAGAACAGCTTATTGTGCCCGATTCCCTGTAAGGGAAGAACAACCTTCTCTTGCACGTACGTATTGATCTGTCAGTATCTTTGCCATTGCTTCATGGGCTTCTCTCCACTTCAGTAAGAAACTATTATGCAAGACATTAATATCAGAATTGTTAGAAAAGACCGGTTTTTCCACTCTCATCTCAAGAGGTTAATTAGTCCCCATGAAACACCACACCTTGGATCTTATCAAATAAAAAAACTGTTGCCATCATTGCTGCTATAGGATTGTAAAGTATTTTTTTTTGTATGCTAGTATTTGAGTTCTATCAATTTCCAAATAAAATGTGGACGAGATCAGTGGGTAAGTAAATAGTAAGAGACTGAGGAAGGAGAACTGTGCCATATGCTCTTTATTGGTATTTTTTTATGGGATACAGTCCCTGCACTACTATTACTGTTTCTACTGCTAGCTATAGGACAGTATCACCACTTATTGCAATCAAGACAAGACGAGGCCAACCTGAGTATCCAATGGCTCCATCTGATCGGCTGGGCTCTCTGCATGTGAGTGTATCCTGGGAACAGGACATCCATCTCCCTGGCAGAGGGGGTGAAGTGGGGGAGCACGTTACACACTTCCGCCTGGACCAGCAGGGAGCGCTCTCGTGACAGGACACAATGAACTGCAGCACTGGGCACGCACTCAGGTGGCACACAACAAGCCGCAAAGCACAGCACCAGGCTCCTGGCCACCACTGACTCCACAGTGAAACCCAGACCAGATGGCAGGGAAGGAAACTCAGGGGAAGCACATTTAAAAGTCTGGAACAGGCTACCCATACTGTGGAAGCTGATACCCGGGCATCTTTCAAGAAGCATTATGGATGAAAGTCTCAGATCAACCAAACCCTGTGCAAGCAGTTATCTTTGATTCCCACCAAGCACAAGAAGCAGACTATACAGATACAATGGAAAGCTACTGTGACATTTCATATATGATTCAATGCCTCCCTTAAATGTGTTTGACAAGAGCACGCATACATGATGGAGAGTATTTGGTTACATATTCGGTGCTCTGCATCCCAGCACTGTGAGGTTCACTGATATGCTGCTGCTGACGACCATGCCACCGGTTAAGACTCACACAGCAGCCCGCTCCACCATGGTGCCGATCAGCTGCACTACATCGCCGCTCAGTGTTGAGATGGCCTCACGCATCCACAGCCTCATGTCCGTCACCACCTGCTCGGCCAAGCAGAACAGCACATTAGGCGTACAAGAGGCACCAGAGGCCAGACACTCTGCTGTTTTGTTTTTTTTCCCCCAAAGGCTGGGTGCCTGCATTGTGGATGAATTGTGGAGCTGTCCCATAACCCATCCCAGAAGCAGAAGTTCCCAATTTAGTGTTTAAACACAAAACAATTAAAGCGATATTCCCCATTGCCTTGCAGAACAACTGCTACCTTGACCAGATCATTGTCAAGTTGCTGCTCCATGCACCTCAAATACAGCACATGGCAGCTGTTGATCCCAATTTTTAAAACAGTCATGGATCATAATAAATGTTTGTTTTTTTCTGGGCCACAGATGCCTGGGGGGAGGTCACCATGGGGGCCAAGCTGGGCCGTGCTGTCACTGCAGGGCACCAGGGTGGTGTGGCTCTTCTTGTGAGGTGTCTGCTTTTTACCCCGGTGTTCATGTGGGATTTTTCCAGGCACTTGAGTTTCCCCAGGAGTTCCATACCTGGTCATTCCTGCTGCGCCCAGTGTGTATCTTGCCAGCTGCCTCTCCAATCAGCTCCTTAGGAACAGAGGAGAGCCGTCATTCCTGCAACACTTACACAATCCCACAGTTGTTGTACGCTTATGTTAGTACCACACTAAATCAAAGTCTCCATGCGTGTGCTATTTATTAATAACGCAAAGGCGTGTCTTGCAGATATTGACCATGTTTGGGGGTAGGTTAATTGCTGCCCCCAATGTTCAGTGCAAACAATGTGACACATTGCAAGGAAGAAAACGATTAAAGCACAAGGAAAGGACAAACTCATCCTTAAATACAGCAAACTTTACAGGACAATTCCGGTACAGTTTTTATTCAGCTGAGACCATTAGGTATGAGATGTGAATAACATAAAGGTTACTCCTTGTAACAGAAGAGACCAGGTGCTGCTCTCATTTCTATCCCTGCATCCATTTTGGGAAAGTTGAGAAAGGCTGAGCAGGCACCCCCATCTCTGTGGGGTATCCCCAGACCAGCTGGAAGGAGTGTGCCCCTACTTCCTTAGGTGCGTACTTACTGACTGACTTTATTGGCTCTGAGGGGAAATCTACTTTGCAGGCAGGTAAAAGACACAACGCAACACACAAGATATTTGACACAACATAAAATCATTATCAAATAAGAAACATGCAGGATGAAAAAAAAACATAAAGTAAACTATACAATCGATTGTTCAAATTAAGCATGTTCTTAGCTGTGGGGATAAAGGATTCCAGTTGTATTCACTGAAATCTGCATAGTCTAAATCAATGCCTTTGTGGAAGGAATGGTCATGACAGTCAGGGGTCATCCTGGTCTTCTGCACTATCTGTTTGATGGACATGTCTGACAGCTGTAGGAGTAGTGGCTCGATTCTAGGGCTCCTAGATCATCCTGGAGAGTGAGCATGGCCATCTTGCAGAGCAACCTCCATTCCCAGACTGCATATACTGGCAATTACCAATCCTATTGGCCACAAGCTCGTACTACGGCCTTGGCTGATATACTGCATGTGGAACCTGTTCTCTAGCACAGTGAGTCACCTGGGCGGTAAACCTGTACTGAGGCGTGCTTTACAACTGAGCGGTTGGGTATCTCACCTTCAGTCTTCTCTCGTTGGCTGTGTGAATGTCCTCATCGCCAGCTTTGATCTCGAAAACGCCTTTGGACCACTCTTCCGAAAGCTGTGAATGGACAAACCAGGCGGATCAGGAAACTCAGATTCCAGAATCAGAATAACCACATAAAAAAAGTGGGTGGCTAATCTTTAAAGTGGGATAATTTTTTCAGATTTTTCTTCGGAAAAGCAGAATCTTAATTGACCAATGAAGATTAGGTAGCAGAATTCATCAGAATTCTTATTAGACCAACTGAATAATATTATTTTAGCAAATTCTGAATGGCAACCTGATAGGTGCATCCACCTCTTCGGGTATATTCACTGCACACTCACACACAACACACTTCCTGGGTTCCGGCACACAGCTCATGTTTGTAAGGTGGACAATGGCAGGAATGCACTGAAGGACAGCTGAGCCTTTTATATTTATTCTTGATTTTTTATGGCATGGGTGTTCTGTATGAAATGTTTTGAAAGGTTACAAATGGATATGGAAAGGGTTTTTTTTAGACACAGTGTTTGACACCTGGACAATGCTGAATGAATGCCTTTTGTTCTGAGTTTGCAAAAAATGCAGCTATGATTTCTATGTGGTGGTGCAATTCTAGTACCCTCTGGACATTTGCATGAATGAGACAGTCAGGCCTGAAATGAAAGGGGAAAGCAGTACAGGTGAAAGGATGACAGTGCCAATAACATTATGTTACACTGATGTTAAAGTCTTGTGCCCATATCAATTAACCCACGGATTAAACAGCACTACTTACATGTACTCAGCAGTGTCTACAAAGGTCTTTGCATAGTAACATACACATTCTTATTTTTCATTAGCTGAACAATATTAAGATACATGCTACAGACATTTTAGTTTTCCAGGTTTGCAGGGGTTTTAAGCCTAAATATTAGAAATCTGCCCTTTTGTCTACAATAAGGAGCTCTGTGTGGACAGGACTATGAAGATGCGTTAACTTCTATAGTGGGTGAATCAAACCCGATTCCTAGAAAGCCTAATAGGTCCACAGCAGGTCTTATTAGCCCTATTTAATTAGCTGTATAATTATAATACTTCTAATCAGGCTCCAAAGTGATTTATTAGTAATTAGATAGATACTTTATTGATCCCGTGAGGATCCTTAATTACCCTAAGGACCCTAATTTCCTTAATTACCCTAAGGAAATAATTAGGGTAATTGTTTAATTGACTGCTTGGGTTGGAGCAAAAACCAGAAGACACCACGTCCTCTAAGAAGTGGGTTTGAGAGTTCTGATCTACGGGCTTCTGCTCAGCTGGTGCTGACTGTACTGCAGAAAGCCCATAACGCAAAATATTTACTGTTCTTATGTTCTGCTCAAATAAGCCAGAAACCACCCAGCACCTGGTGTTGACTTCCTCTGGAGTTTGTAACAATGCTGTGAAAGAGTGCAATGTTCTGGAAATATTTTCCCCCCCCATGGCGTTCCAGGGCGCGGTCATTCCGATGAACAGGAGCTCACCTTGTCCAGGCCCTGCAGAATCTGCTCCATCTCTCGTCGAGTGACCAGCCCGGACTTCTCCAGAGCCTTCACGTAAGCCTTGCTGCCCTGTATATCGGCCGCCCACATTCGCTTGTCATAGTCAATGGAGGCATTGAATTTCTCCATGATGGGGTCCGTGTCCCCCACAAACCTTCCTCCCCACAGCTTGCTTCCCTGTCGGGGAGGGGAGAGATTTGGAAAAGTGGACGCACAATACCGTTAGCTTTTTCGGGGGGTTCCCGGATTGCTTTTGATTTTCCTTGCATTTTTTCTTTTTCTTTTCGTTTTTTTTAAAATTCCCATTGACTTTTTGGCACCTTTTTTTTTTTGTTCGTTATTTAATTAGTTGTTTCTTCAGTTACCAGGTTTTTCAACACTATTAAGCAAGACATGATTATTTGACTTTAAAAACATTTATAGCTTTGACAGTTCCGCCCCAATGTCTCATTATTCACCCTATTAAGATACTAATATTCTGAATTAGAGGCAGCCTTACGTACCTCGGAAGATGACATAGTGCATCTCTTCAGTGCCGGTGTCTGTAAGGCGAAACAAATTCAATCACATTAGAAACAATAAAAGCAGACAGGGTTCGCTTTAGATTTCACATTGAAGTCACGCAACACAAAGGATTAACCGAAAACTTCTCTGTTTCATGATTGTGAAACATTTGCTTTAGCTAGATCGCTGGACAGCTTGGTTATTTCGACAACATGGGCAGACATGTCGGTAACTTAATACTGTACAGATAACAAAAATAACCTAAAATAAACACCACCAGCTTTTACAGCTCCTAAATCCTGAGTAAACTGAGCAATCGCGTTTCTTAAGTACCTGTTTCGTTGCGTGGTTCTTAAAAATAAAACTCCGTGCCTTTTGAGATGGTTATGGGGGGAGTTTGCTGTCTCCGCCTCGCAGGTTGACTCCCAGGTCGAGGGCGAATAGACGCACACGGCTCTTCGACTACTTTTTACACTAATATTCATTAACAGAGCCGACGACCAATCACCGCGCCAGTCGCCGAAGATGTCCTGCCCACGGATTGTGAAAAAGAAGATCTGCAAAGGAGGAAAAAAATATATATAAGGAAGTGATCTATTTTTTTGGAAATTACAGCTCCTTTGCTGCGGGAAGTCGCTTGTCAGTTCAGGTCTCGTCTTACCGGTTGGGGTGACCCTAAAACCGGCCTGGACTGAGAGTCCACCATGCTTCACATAACAACTACAGCATAATAAAAAAATAAACGAATAAACCTGAACTAACGACTAGTTATTTATTAAAACCCAATAAAAAAACGCCTGTTGTTTCTGAGCTTAACAGCATCTCGAGATCTGCATATTTATTGTTGATACAAAAATCTGTTCATTGCTGTTTGGTGGGTCCAGCTGGCCAAGACAGCAGTGATACAGTGCGATAGGAATATGTGGGGTGGCGACAGCAAGCAAGATCCCAAACGTTTAAAAATAATTCAATTTCTAAGCGAAGTACGGACTGTAAAAACAAGTCACTCTGTTTGACTGCCATTATTGTATAGGCATATATACATTACCGACTCCTTGAATCATTTCTGGTTCATCTGAACACAAATGATACCTGTAACGGGAAATAAATCTGATTTTTCAGCTTTCTTGCGGGTAGACGGAAACGGCCGGTGCGGTTCGCGAGAATGGGTTTTAGGGCTGCAGCGACACCCCGGGGGCTGTGGACACAAGCGGTACTGCAGCCGCCCCGGCGCAGCGCTGCCGTTGCAATACAGAGGAGACCGGTTTCAGTGCGTGTGAGGAGAGTCGCTGTGGTTTGCATTAGTTACAGACGGAGCAGTGCTAGGAATAAAAACAAATAAATACAAAACTCCAAACCTGAAGAGTATAGATTTGGCACTATTAGATGGTAGTTTGAAGGAGTTGGGATATGTGAGCATTGGTGGTTCAGTGGTAGAATTCTCGCCTGCCACGCGGGAGGCCCGGGTTCGATTCCCGGCCAATGCAACATAAATTTTTACTTTTTATTATTTTCTGTAACTTGAGACATACATAGACATGTCTCACTGAAAACCTCCCTGGAAAAAAAACAACATTATACATTGCACACATCTGTTTTTTAAAAAAATAGCTTCCTTATGATCTGACGAAGGGTTTTGAGAACACCATAATCTGTTTATAAATGCCATCGTAAAATGGATGGAGATAGTAGATGGAATTGGATATTTCTCTCTATATGTCGATGGAGATGGTCGCGCTGGAAAAGGTTGTCCTCTAAGCCAATACCTAAAATAATGAAAGCAATATGCTTTCTCCGCTAGAGATTCCGGAGAAAAATCAGAGTATCATAGTCACTACGAGACGCATTAAAGATAAAGAACTACAAATATGACGATTGAAAGAGAATCATCGAAAGCATTTATTCTCTGAATTTAAGTTGCGTGTCCTAAGGACTCAACAAGTGTGCTGAAAACGACGTCTGCCTAGGAACCAATACGATGATCCAAGGAAGGTGTCCGGACGGTTAGAAAAGACGCACGCTGTTGTAGGCAGGATGGAAGTGTGAGTACAGATTTTCGATTGTTTTTATTTTTCCTGTTTGTTTTGTATTAATTAGATTAGTAAGTATTTGCCGTTTTTGAACAATAATTTATTTCAATTAATTATCCGATATATTTTACTTTGCAGCGTGTGCTCTTACGTGTGTTGCCACGACTGCACGCTGATAAGTATTACAGTCATCGAGAGTGCTTGACTATAAATCATTTAAATGTTCAGCTTTAAAAATGCTGATATTAAAGATTCATCCAAGTTTGTTACTGTTACGAAATAAAACGTAAAAGCCGGTGAGATTAGTAACTTTTAATATACTGTTCATATTTACAACGCATTGTGTTTAGTTCACCGTTGTACTGAGTTGGATGATAAATATCAATATCAGTGTTTTTTGTTTATAGTATACAAACTTTACTTATATAGTAAATTGTATTTTAGCACGTCTCATTATGACGTGCTTATACTATATACTATACTAGAGCTTTGTGAAGCATTTCCAAAACAGTGTGAATATTATGCTTGTAGTGTTATAGTTTGTACTTACGAAAACTATGATTATAATTATAGTTTTTTATACCTAGAGAAAAGTTTTACTCAAATCTGTTTTATTCAAGTATAGAGATTGAAGACATTTCTTAAAATAACACTTTTATCCGTGGAAGTATTGTAGAGAGAAATTCTAGAGCGCTGCATTTTGACGTTTTGGCCATCCCTGTGTACTGCTGTTGAGATGGAAAACGTCGAAAAAAACTAGATCAACGAGAAAGGTGTCCAGTAGATGACGCCATTTTACAGGCGATTAATACAATCGTCAAATGTTTTAGAGCAAACTCTCGGTTTAACAGATTATAGGAGGAAGCAATGTCCGTTATTGCCTAATATCCGTCAAATTACGTAAACCGGTTTTTCAACCGCAAATATCTGGACTATACATTTTCTGTATGTTTTGACTTACTTTTTTAACATTTGCTATCACCACACTCAAGGAAAATTACTCATGTGCCGTTTTTAGCGTAATCGCACACACTCTATATTTCACACAAACACCACCACCGTTTGTAACCAGTTGACCATTGATATTCCTGAATTATACACCTATGGAGTATGTATTTCTTAGCTTCTTTTATTACTTGTGCATTTGTCTGGTATGTCTGCTTTTACAGACAAAATTCCCCCTTCAGCAAATTATGTCCGTTGAATCCATAAATTAAACGGTGGGGTTACTGCAAAGTATTACGAAACCCATGTATTATTAGTTCTAGGAGGCTTTCAGCTGAACACCTCACCACAAGTTTTGCTGGGCTTGGAGAGGCAACAGTACCTTCTCGTTTTCTTGCCAGCTGACTGATTCGATTGCGTACATCAGCTGGTTCAGAGAGGTTACCGTGCTTGTAAAATCTCTGCGGATTGACCATTAACAGCTGCCCGTCGGTCCTCCAGGACTGCTCTCTTGTCCCCTTCTTCTCCTAGGTCCGTACGTCTCGGTGGGACGGGCTTATACTGGGAGAGCTTGTGAAACATTTCAAAAACAGTGCGAATCTGTGGCTCCAAAGTGTGAACTTTCTCAAGAAGAATGAGACTTTTTGTCTTGTATACTATAATCTCCTCCTTTGTGGTTTATACAGTATACCCATACAGGTTTAAAGTTAACCCCAGAGCTTACATGCATTAGCCATGTAGGGCCTTAACAATGGAGCTGCTCCTGATGGGATCTGATTTCCTGTATGTACAAGACGAATCGTTCAAGAAACCTCCTGTTAAGCTTCAGTAGAGAGCAGTCCTTAATTGTTGCTGAGTATGGCTCTGCTGGCCGTAGGCCTAATTAAGTTTGCCTTGGATATCGGATCTTTTATAATGGTTATCCCCTGCTGATCTCCAGACCAGTTCTTTGGCTTCTGAAGGAATGCTTTCTCTGTGTGTAATATATTGCTCTTTTACCTTTCAGGAAAGATGCAAATGCTGCTATGCTCAGCAATTATGAGGTACGCATGTCGCCCTGGAGATTTATTCTGAGTACTGCAGAGCTTGTTTTCATTCATGCAATTTCAATTCATAAATGTAATTGGTCTTGACCTCTGAATAAGAATGAAAGTCTTCGTTTATAGTCTTCAGAAGCATTGCATATTTTAATTATCAAGCTTCTCACATGTGGCGCAGTGGTCAGCATTGCTGCCTTGCAGTGCTGGGGCCCTGGGTTCAGTTCTGGACCTGGAGGGCTGTCTGTGTGGAGTTTGCATGTTCTCCCCGTGTTTGCTAGGGTTTCCTCTGGGTGCTCTGGTTTCCCCCTGTAGTCCAAAAACATACTGGCAGGTTGATACTGGCCCTGGTCTGAGTGTGTACATGCCTGTGTTTGCGTCTGTCTGCCCGGTGATGGGCTGGTGTCCTGTTCAGGGTCTGCCCTGCCTTGTGCCCGTTGCTTGCTGGGATACGTTCTGGCTCCCCCATGACCCTGAACTGGAAGGAGAGGTTAGAAAATGGATGGATGGTAGCTTCTCATTATATACAAGAAACGTGTAGTGTAATGCATATTCATGGAGAAAAACGTTTCCCCTTGAGCTTTTTTTTTCCCCCCATTTTCATAATCTTTCTGTGAGATTATTCCATACATGTCTCCAAGCCGTGCGCTCACAGGGCCCGATCAAGCTTAGTTTCGGCTGTCTGACAGAATCAGGCTTTTAGGCAGTCTGGCTGCAGGCCATACTGTCTGTTGGGAAGAGGGAATTCTAGCTGTAATACTGTTATCGTGTCAAGCCTTTTCAGAAAGATTCCTGGGTGTCAGCTAAGGACACATTGCCAATGATGTTTTACATAAAGGTATTTTTTTACCTTGAGTGTGCCATCAGTTTGGAGACGAAGCTTTTTTATGCTGACTGTGCTGATGCTGTTGCCTATCTATGGGCCTGATTACAGAATAGACCTCACTCTTTCATCTGGGCAGTGTTTAGTTTTCTTTGTTTGTTCTCACTTAATGCCACCCGATTCCTAAGCAGTGGTTAACAGTAAGCATTCCTTATTGTTTTAATTTAAAAAAAGAGGTTTATTTTTTTGTAGAAGACCTTTGAGTGCATCAGGATCAGATGAAGGTCCACAGAATTGGATATCTGCTTGCCTCCCAGTACTTCTGACCTGTCCTCGACCTCTGACCTTTGACACCTGACCTGAAACTTTGCGTGCTGTCTTTTGTCTGCGCTGAGGGCAGGTCTACCGGCTGCTGACGGACTTGAAAGAGCAGAGAAAGGAGAGTGGGAAGAACAAGCACAGCACCGGACAGCAGAACCTCAACACCGTCATGTTCGAGGTCAGTTGGACCAAGTGGAAGAGGGCAGTGTCCCGACATGGGGAGTCGCCACTAAGAGTGCAAAAAGTCACTTTTACAGGCTTATCAGCGTAGACAGGGAACTTGGTACATAATGTAAACAGAGTGATAGTAGAAACACTCTCAGGCAGTGGGCAGTGCCTCTCAAACTGCAGACCTGGAGTTGCACATTGGCCTGCTGCAGGACTTGCCCCTGCCTCTCTGACTGCACCCTGAGTGAGGTTGTGCCCTGTATTGCATTTGTGTGTTCTGTGGTGTAATAGTTAGCATTCTGGACTTTGAAGCCAACCATCCAAGTTCATAGCACTGTGGAATCCCCGCCCTTCACCCTTTGTATGTTGTTGTGCATGATGTTCAGCTGTGACGGTCGTTATTATTTTTGGCGCTGTAATGTACAGTGCCCATTGTGTGGTGCTGTCTATTGCCCTGCACACGTCCCGAGAGAATGGTACCGAATAAGGATCCCAGTGTACATGTACATATGGCAAACAAACTCCTCTCTTTCGTTCCTGGGCCTGCGTAGTCTTTCACACTTATCCAGAATAAACATGGCAGAAATACTGAGGCTGGGCCACGTGCACCATGCAGTACAGCTGAAATCATGGTTGTTAAAGCAGGAGGGCATTTTCTAATTGACCTAAAATAATCAGGCAGTGCATTCAGATTTGCTTTTATCAGGCAGTGTTGGCAGGCTACTCTGGTGTTATCATATGGGTTGAATAACTTAACCAATGCTCATGGGCGAAGGGAGTTTTTAAATATTTTGTCTTCCCACAAGCCAGCATATTCCACTCAGAGACGTGTAACAGCTTTTCTTTCTCTTTTGTTACAGGACGCAGCTGTTTCTTTTATTCAGGCTTGATCCGTGTGTATAATTCATCACCTTTTGTGAATGTGCAGGATTGATCTTTTTGTCTTAATAATTGTTTTCTTTGTTGTTCCCCTGTTGCATTGCAGACTTTGAAGTATCTGTCCAAGACTCCCTGCGTGCGCCAGAGCCCCGAGATTGTGAAGGAGTTCCTTACTTCCATGTTGTCGCACAAGCTTACAAAGTAAGAGATGCAAGAAAGGTTGTAACTGAGAGGAATCTATCTGGTCCATTTAGTCCATTGCTGGTTCGGTAGTTAAGAAGTTTAGGTCCCACACTTCTTCAAGCACGCCTGAGTTGTGCCAGACACTCATTACTCATTGTGTAAAGGGAGCTCCGTGCGAATTCCCTTTTAGCTTTCGATTGTGACCCGTGTCTTTGCTTCATGACTTAGACTGCGGTTTGAATGTGTACCCTTTTGAATTTTGAGTTCTTGGATTAAATCTGCTCCGAATCTCCCCTGTTCTCTCCTAAAGAGATTTAGCTCCTTGAACCTGTCCACCCTGTCTGTATGTGGCAGTCCAGTGACATCACAGATCCTTCTTGTTGCACACGTGTGAGAGCCTTTGGAAGTTTTAGTGTCCATCTTTTGGTCTGGTGACCATAGAGTACACTGTTCAGCTCAAGCAGCAGTGACATGCAGTCTTGATGAGCTGTGCTGGATGGCCAAGAGGTCAGAGAGAGATCTGGACCACACAGGCCTCACTGGACTGTTGTGCTGAAAGGCAGCTGCTGGCCTGGGCTGTGTACTGTAACACCACTTAGTATAAAAGTTAACTCTGGGCAACTGAGTAGGCTAGTTGGTGCTACATTATTTCTTTCTCTTGGAAACGCTGATGATGGCTCAAGGGATGTAATTTCCTGGAGAACAATCAGAAGAGCCCCCAGATTAAATTGTTCTGGCAATTACAGCCTGTGTTCTCCTAATCTGATAGTATTTTTTTTCTTTAACAGCAGTGGAAAGGGTATAACTCCTCTATCTAGACATCAGCTTGTCCAAGGTAATTGTCACCATGGTAACTCATTAACCCTCTGCGACCCTGGCTCTTAAAGAGATTATAAGGATATCAGAAGTGTGTTTGACTGCCTCCCCCCCTTTTCACTCTCTGCTTTCCTTCCCTTGGGTAACATCTGTTCTATTCAGTTTGCAAATTATGCATCTCTGCAGTACTAGGCCTCCTGTGTTGAGACTAAGCTGATGCATGATGCCAAATCCTCTTTTCATCACTCTGGGATAAGTAGCACAACTCAGGGTTGATCATCTGTATGGTGCATCGGGCCGTGAAGAAAGCAGCCTTCTTTTTTTTGCACCATGTTTTCCGCCCTGTCATCAGCACATGGCTGGCTGTGGCAGCTTTGAGCTGCATTGGAGTGGTGCTCTCGCTTCGTTTGTTTTTGCTGTGTGGACCCTGGCCCTGACTGTGGCCTCACACATGACTGATCCTGCCTTCTTCACACTGTTTCAGAGCCCACATGTCTGCAGGGGATATTTTTACTGTGAGAGAATGGGAAACAAGCCTCACAACATCTTACAGTGGTTTGATCCCTTTTGAATTGTCCAAGCTGCAGGCTTTTAGTTAAAGTTTCCAGATCTCCTTTCCTTTGGCACGTCCTGTCTTTTGGCAGCACCGTTCTGCCCCTGGGATATGGAGAATTGTTTCAGCTTTGAATCCAGTTACTCTTAGGTGACGGAATCATTGCTTTGCCATCTTTTCAATACCTTATACTCCTAGCTCATTAAATTGTTGGCTCACAAAAAACTGTGATGTGAAATACAGTACCAACTCAGGTTGACACATGAGCAAACGTTCCGTCTGCCTCCGAGTCTGACTGGAAAGAACCACCTTATTAAAAAAACGGGGGCTGCTTTTACTTTCTGTCTCAACATTAATTGCTGTTGATTTTTTTCCCCCCAGGGCAGAGAAACTCCAGCTCCTGAACCACAGGCCACAGACTGCTGTGGAGATTCAGCTGGTGAGTCTGCCCTTCAGATTAATTAAATAGTCTCACTTTCACTGGACTGGACCGCTTCTTCATTAATAATTGATTTTCTGTGAGCCGAGTATGGTCACTTTATTTTATGTTCAATAATTAAGCTACTGAAGTTTTTAACTGGTGTTTATAATGCCTGGTAATATAGATATCAATGGCATGTAATAATGACTGTATTACTATTAAATATAATGTGAGTGTTCTGAAACATGGTGGTGAATGATAGAGCTTTTTTAGAGTGTTGTTTTATAGGACAGTCTCTTTTCATCTCTGATGAATGGTATCTTTTTATTCTCTTCCCTTTTCACGTGCTTAATTAAAGTTAAAAATAAGCCTGAACCTTCTTGGACACCTTCCTGAACAGTGCTGATATACGCGTGGTGATGAGTCAATTGTCAATTTACCATTTGCTCCCAAAGATTGGTATCTGCTGCTTGATGCACAAGAGGTGAAGTTACAGTTCTGTGTGCAGGGTGTGTAGCTCCCAGCTTCAATTACATAGAGTACAGTGGCAAAAACCTTTTGTTTGACTACATTACTAGGGCCTAGTTCACCATAGTTGACTTATTAATGTCGCTATTAAGTTGTAATGCCATGGAACATCACGTCAAAGAAATGATAGCGTGCAAAGCTTTTGTTGGTTGCAGAGAGGTGGTAGCACATGAGAAAAGTAAATGACAGCCCCGATTAAAAGCTTTTCCGATTGCTTTTAATTTGGAAAATGTGATACCGTTGGAACAAACCCAGGGCGCTCAAGCAGAAATGCAAATCTGTGTGGCGACCGTAAAATTCATTTTTACAACAACAGGATGTACCTTGATATTTGTTATTTCCGGGGAAAAGTACAGCAATTAACCCTAGGCGCATGCATGTTGACATTTCCAGAACGTATTGATCATTGGTTGATGACTCTGGGTATCCCGGTGCTCTGTATGAGCTCCCAGTTCTGTGTTCAGTGCGCAGTATGGGGAAACCTCTCTGTATGGATGTGAAGTCTGGTGGTCCTTCAGGCTGCTGTTTAACAAATTGAAAACCCATTTTTGAAACGTATGTATATGAAAGGCCAGTTCCCTTTTCTAATTTGCATGCAGTGCTTTTTTTTTTTAATCAGCAGCAGACGTTTTTGCAATAATCTGTTTCTGTCGTACCCAACTGTGCGTGTGCAGTCCCCCCCAGTCCAGGGGAAGAGAAGCGCCAAACCCCCTCTTCTGATGACATGTTCAGACCATCCGTCTGGAGTCTCCCAATCCGGTTCCTTCCTGTTGTCCATTGTGTTTGTTCTGTGGTTTATTACAGTTTTTTGCCGGGAGATGGGTTTCTGTGGTCCTCATTTGGTGTCTGGCCCACGTTGACTCCAAGCATGTCATGTTTCTCATCTGTGCCGAGTAAAGTGCCTCTCATCTGCAGTGCAGGGCGTTTTTCTATCCGATAATGTTTTTTTTTACAGTTGTCAGCAGCTGGGTGTAGCTTTTCCACCTCTTTGAAAAGTGCTCTGGTGGGCTTTGAACAAGGCAGTGGAGGGACCTTCCACTCACTTGCCTGTGTAGGTATGATGAAGTGTTAGTCAATGGAAGTAATCCCAGGTGTTAAATGAAAGCAGGTGGAACAGCCCAACACTGGACCTGTGAAGTCATTAGGCTGAATGGCTGATGCTCTGCAGACACATCAGAAACAGGGGAGCTTGCTTGACAGACAGTGTACATTTTGGCTTGTCCTAAATTGGCCTGAGAGGTATTCCTATAAGTGCAACGCATGATTTTTTTATGCTCGAATCCCAGAGGGGATTACAGCTGTTGCAAATTTATATAAAAAGTCACTTTGTGCTCTCTCAGAGTGCAGGATAGGGACTATTAGAGTATAAGAATAGCTCTCCTGCCAGCGTTTTCTAAGCCGCTGCCTTTTCAGCCACATCTGGAAACGTCTCGTCTCTGAACAAGCACAACTTGGCTGATTTAGCCTCCCCAGAAATTCTCCCATTGTTCTCCCGTTGCCTCTTGGAGTTTCAAAGGCGCTGTTGTTTGGGATTGGCACGGTCATCTTCTCCTCCTTCTTGACAGCACCGCACAGCAGGAGTCCCACCCCCACCCCCCACCCCGTCAGAAAACCTCGTGCTCCAGGCTTCCGTCTCAGTTAAAAAGTTCCCCAGGCGTGCAACGTCGCCCAGGATCATCGCGTGCCATCGGATTATTGCGCAGGCCTTTTTCATTTTCACGACATCTGTTTTAGAAAACTATTCTGAGTTTTTGTTTACTTTCCTGGCTGTTTACATACAACACTTTTTTTTCTTCTCCAGAGCAGGGATAATGCAAAAGTGTTGGCCGGGCCTGTATTTGCTCTGTCCAAGCCGGGTCGGAGGGGTTGGAAATGAAGGGGGGCTGAGCGTGCGGGATCATGCAGCACTTTCCATGCATAGTCCTGTGTTGCTTCACCAGGGGCATAGCTTGCTGGGCAGGAATGGGAATATTTGTTCTTGGAGGTATGACGTCATTGTTTGGAAAAGGCCAACAAGCAAGCACAGGCATGCACACACAGGTATGCGTGTTAATAAGAAGTGCCCTTTGTGTCCTGCATATTTGCTACATTTGGGACATTGTCTCTGCCAGGTCATCATTTAGAATTTACTAAAACTTTCCCTCTAAAGTTTTCCCTCTTGTGACACATTGCAGGTCTGTTCCGTAGGTCAATCTGTAAACCATTTAATGGCTGCTCAGTTAACGTACCTTTAAACAAAAAGGGTAGCATCTTGGAAGGTTTTCTGTGTCTGTATACTTGGTGATGTCCCCACTAACACTGTCCTTTCCCGTTTCTGTCGTGGGTTTCAGGTGTTAGCGTTTCAGGAGCCGGAGGTTTTTTTTTCCCAAGTTCAGACTGTTACAGTACGCGACTTGAATTGTTACCCCATATTTATGCTGCTCACGGAGTCCAGCTGTTTTGTGGTTGGCTGGTGCAAAATCGTTGCCGTTCCAGTCCAGGCTGTGTTTCACCATGTGGTTCCTGTAAAGCACCCGGGCATCCCTGATTGCAGTGAAAGATGCTGTGGCTGGTATCTATATGAGATGCCCTGCCTTAGTGTTGCCTTAGTTTAACGGGTGGCGGTAATATAAGGGTAAAAAAAAAACTAGCTGCAGGGTCTTTGTGAAAATACTTCGTGTAGTTTATTCTGACACATGCTTCCCCCATCTCTTTTTCTTTGGCAGTGTGTCTTTAGAGCGGATTCATTTATGGCAGCGGTTCTATTTAAAAAAACAAGCTTTTATGCCTCTCTAATTAGTAGTAAAATCCGCTTCCTCATAAAAGCGATTAGCAATCCGTCCATTCTGGAGGTTCAGCAAGAGGTCGCGAATTGCAGCCTGTTCTGTCACTGGTTTCCTGGAGGAGTTCACACCGCGCTGGACCACTTCCGTTCCTCTTGTAGTGGCATCCTTTTCTAATGCTCCAGTCAGCCTGTGCATCTGGGACCTGGATAACGAGGAAACGAGCCTATCAGGCTGCCCCCGGTGGGGATTGAGGCTCCTGGCAGCCTGACCAGGGTGTGTGTTTGTGTGTGTGTGTGTGCACGCGCAGATGGTGGAGGAGAGCGAGGAGAGGCTGACCGAAGAGCAGATCGAGGAGCTGCTCCAGAAGGTGACGGACATCCTGCCCGGAGACCCGCAGCAGGACAAGGCCTCGGCGCCCGAGGACGCGGACATGGAGGAAGGGGAGGGCCAGTAGCCACCGCGGCCCCCCCGCTCCCGGACAGACGGACCTGACCGGCTGCTGTCAGGACTTTACAGCTTCCGTCTCCTGCTTCCACCAATGACGTGACGGGAGGCGCCCCGTTTAGCCAATCAGACAGTGACCCGAGTATCAAGGCAAGGCTGCCAGGGCACCAGGGTCCCTTATCCCAAGACATTTTTTTTCCAGTTGTGGGCACTGAAGACAGGTCATCCCGAATCCCAAACCCCTCTTCTCCGGTCAGCACCATCGTTTACGAGTGGGGATTCTGTGGGGGCCACAGGTTTAGCTTTTGTACTTCCCGAGGCTTGGAGTAGCGAGTGTTTTTGAGTCTTGTCATAAATCGTCTGCCCTAACTGAAGCAGGCCAGAGCTCCTTTAGGCTCAGGTAGTTTGGCGAGCCAGTGTTCTGGGTGAAAAGTGTCTCGGGCGGGTTGGTACCACAAACAGTGTAACGCGGTGGTCAACTCATGGCTAGGTATCTTCTAAAAAAGTCCTTGAAAGTAGGGAGGAGAAAAAAGGGGGGATACATTTTGTTTGCCTTTTGTTTTGGGGATAAGATTTGTTTGCTTAATTAAGAGCTGTGAGCAATCACTTGCCTTTTTGCAGATCCTCTGGGTTAATTATCAAAGAGGGTCTCGTGTTACTTGATGTGTATGGCAACCTGTGACATAACACAGCAGGAATGTTTCTGTAACATGAACGGAGATGAACCACATGCAGTGCGTTTTTCTTCATTCCTACCTTCAGTTTTTTTGGCACTCACACCCAGGAAGGACATGCCTGTTGCTTTTAATTGCTGGAGCAGCAACAGGGGGCGAGGGAATTAAAGAGCATTTGTCAGAAATTGGCAATGTTTTGTTGTTTTGAAACGAGTTGCACTACGTCAGGCCTCAGGCTTGCTCAGATCCATGCTAGTATAAAAAGTAGGCACAGTGATACCTGTACGGCTATTGATTCAGCAAATCAAAGGATTTCACAATAAAGGGTGAGTGATTTTTTTATCGTTGTTTTTGGGGCAGTGGAAAGGGAATGGGCAGAGGTTTGTCCAGATGTGCCCTGTTAGCTACCACATTGAGGTGAAGGGGTGTTCATATTCATGGAGGTCCATTTTGCAGCATTTCCTGTTTGTGAAGTGGTCAGTGAGGTCTGAACCTCTCTTGTGGCCTGGTGAGCCGTGTGACATTTTTCTGAGTTGTGATATTAAAACATATTTGCTTGTGTTTGTTGCCTCATTTAATAAATTTCATTCTCTTTGACTTCCAGTTTCAAGGTAGTGAAACATGTTTCTGCGTGAACACGCTGAGAAAAAAAACTTTTTTTAGACTGGAATTCCTCAGATGACCATTTAACTATTGGCCCTTCATCTCTAATACTAAAGGGAAAGCTAGGCAAAAACAGATCAGTGCAGAACTTTTTGACACCTGCCTTCGTTTTTTGGATAAAAGTGGAGTTTTCTAATTATTGTGTTTTCTACCACTCGAAGAGAACAAGATAATAGCACAAAAAAAAGTTCGGCTTAACGGCTTTGCAATGTTTCTGTAGATATCTGGAGCCTCTGCTCTCTCTCTCCCCGCCTTGTTTTTCTGTTTGCAAATCCAGCCACAAGGACAGCTCCATTATTGATAAAGTGCTCCCTGTCTGCTTTTGCATAATCTATACAAATCTGAAATGAACAGGGCCAGGCACTTATGGTAATGGCAAGAGAGGAAGATAGCATATCGCCCTTTGATTTGTTTGCTTAATGTCTTGGAGCGTTCGGAGCTGTGCTTTTATCTGGCGTGGCATTCTGTCAGCCATCTGCCTTGAGCTGCACTTTATCTCTGGTGGGGCGGCCCGCCGATCTCCTTCTCCAGTCGGTGCCAGCCGACTTAATCGTGACGCTTTATTCTGACTTTATGGGTGTATGGATTTTGCCCGTTTAGCACTAAAAGTATCGTCCTTAGATTTTAGCTCTTTATGTCTGGCTTAGTTGATCTTTGCTCAACCTTTTTCTGAGCTTCCTGAAAGCTTGTGATTAAGTGATTTATCCAACAGAAAGCCAAGACGCACACTGTACATTAGTAGAAGAAGGCTGGAATGGGCAGGAGTTGTCTGCTGGTGCTGTTTTTATTTTTGTTATTAAGACAGAATCGACTCCCTCTGTTGGCCAGAGTTCCACATTGAGCTGCGCGCCAGTGCTGGTGCGAAAGACTTAATCTTCTGCCAGCGAAACACGACTTTCGTTAAAGACCCAGAAGAACAGGGCAGTTTGCTTTCTGCACTGAAAGCATCGATTCAAGTCCTGAAGAGGTCAAAGTTTGCCTGCTTTGGAGTGCCACACATACGTGTGCTGTAGCAGCCTTGTCTAAGATTGAACTCGGATTAGAGTTGAGGTTAGGTTAGTTTTGTGTAAATCAGGTATTGTTTTACTAGCCTTCAACCCAACTTTATAGTAACAACTTGTGTCCTCAGTTTGTCTTGGTCAAGCAGAACCCCCCTTTCATTTATAACCTTTCTTACAAAAACAAAGCTTCCGTTCTCTAGTGTAAGAGTAGGATGGTATGGACGCAGGTCCATTATTAAATTATTAAGAGTGGCCAGGATAGTTTGCCAGAACTGTTAACCAGACACTTGGCAATGCTGCCTGGAACGAGCAGCTTCCTGTGCTCACCTCCTGTATTTCCTGCCCGCATGAGCCAGGATAGGGTGTCACTCTAGTGGTGGAATCAGTCACAGACTAAAGAGAGGCTCATCGCTCTCCAGGGCTCACCTGACGCACCTCCCCCGCTGGCCCGCTCCCTCCTCTAAGTTCTGAACCTTTTTTTTTTGTTCAGGGTGTTCTTGAGCCTCTTTCCGACAGCCATCTGTTGTGAGCGCAGTGTTTGGCGTAGGCGGTGAATAGGCATGGGTTGTGTTTTCCCTGCCAGCAGGAAGCAGGCACTCCAGAATGCCGCCAAGACCGTTCCTGATGGTGCAGTCACAGTGGTCAGCTCCACCTGGGAAATCCTCTCCTCTGGATGTCCAGCCGGTAGCCATCACTGTAATAATAGGATTTCTCGTTCTGATTTCCTCTCTGTAGCATTTCCAGCAGCAGAAAATACTCGTGTCGGGCTGCCAGTGCTGCAGGACCTAGTGACCCAGTTTGGAGGGAAGAGAATCTCCACTTCCTTCTCTCTCCTTTGTTTCCAGCAGTTTCCTGAAACGTGGGATTCTGGATTGTCATCGAGTCCAGTTCTCACAGTTTGGCAGATGGGAGGGGGAGGATGTTTTTATCTAATAACAAAGCAGGTGTCTGGTCAGGAATGTTGGACACGCCAGTGTCTTTGAGTCACTGTAATTTTACACTGTTGTCTTTTTGTTCTTGGGGAAAATGAACTCGAGCAACACAGCCTCTAAGCCTATTTGACAAACACAATAGTCTGTAATGTGGTATGAGAATGTTTTGTGTCTGTTTTCTGTTCTCTGAATGGCATACAGTTCTGTAATTTTATGATGTTGGCGTAAAGTTCTTTTTGTTGTTTTTTATATCTGTGGTTTCAATCTAAAAAGAACACAGATGACTCAGCTTAAGTAAACATTTGCCAAAGAACAAAGGTTTAGATCTGAAACCCTTCTCAAGATGTGTTGCCACGTGGGTTTTCCTGGGTAGAAACTTGACAGTCTCTTTAGAGTTTGTTATTATTTTGTTATAATAACCAAATGAGTATTCCTTATTGGTCCCACTTTATCGCAGAAAATGAAATGAAACACTGTATCCCCCACATACCTGACTCTGCTTTTGTTTGCTCTTCCAAATTCCACTCAAAGTAAACCTCACACAGGGTGAAAATAGAATTTTTCGCACTGGGAGATTTAACCCTCCAGTTTAAATAAATGTCTTTCTTTTTATCGGGACAGTCCTGACTATATTTGTTTGACGGGAGTCACTGTCTTTGGGTTAGTCACCCCAATTTTTTTTCCCACATTGACTTTAACGTCTGCCCTCCCTGTCACATTGGCGTGCCCAGCGATGCACAGAAAAAAAAAACCCATTCTCCTATACCAGGTGGAAGAGGGGTTTGTCAAATCTTGTTACACAAACAAGTTTGTAAAGGCACAGGCCAGTCCCCCTAGTGCTAGTCTTATCCTTCCTGGCTCCAAGCTCTCGCACGCATGCTGTCTGCTTCTGCCCTCTTATCATCGAGCCCTCCCATAAGCCCCATCTGTTTGTAGACCATCTCCGATGGGATGACATCGGATAATCGGCTTAGGCCAAGATCATACCTGGTTTTGTGCCGAGATTGCATCTCTGCAATTAAGCTCTGCATGGACAGCCTGCTAATTCAGTGGCTCTCCAGTAGTGGCAGCTCCCAGTTTACATGAAGTGCGCTTTGGAACGGGACAGAAAGCATATTCCCCCAGGGTCTCCCGGGCTTCAGAGCCTAGTTCTGGGAATTGAAAGAAGTCCGGTCTTCTACAAGAGCCAATAACGTGTAGGGCTATAGGGAGTTCGCAGTTCACTGATGCAGTCAGGAGCCAAACTATTCAAGCCAATAAAGGCAAAGAGCAGCATTTAGGATTTTATCCTGAAAGGTCCAGGCAGCCAGTACAAGGAAGCTAAGACAGGAAAGATCTGCTCAGGCATTTTAGTTTTAGTCTAGATGCAAGCAGCTGAATTCTGTATATATGGCACTAGAGGACAATAATGAAGCCAGGAAGACAAATGCAAATATTAACATTTCTGTTATTTGGACCTGGAAAGGCACGAATCATTACTAGTAATGTTATATAGGTGAAACAAACCTCTTACAATGTTGCATCAGAAACAAAAGATTTAAAACCCTTTCGGTAAAATTGTGAAAAGTTTTGTCTGCCTGAGTACTTCGCTGACTTGCATATTTTTTTATAACTCCATACTTTTTTTCCTTCCAATTATAACACCCTTCCCTCAAGGCTGTTCCAAGCGAGTGAAGTTGTCACAGAAATTATGACACATTCTGTGGTGATTGGGGAAGAAATTTCTGCTGTCAAATTATTCTTAATGACCACGCTTCACACTGTGCTTGGCTGCTGAGCTCTCGGTTTCACTTTAACTCTGTCATCCTACGATCGGCATGCTTAATAAAGAAACACGCTGAAGTGTTCTTGGGGGCATTACAGGGACTATGCACAGACATTTCTTTTTAGTTTATCTTCTAGTCATGACGGTCTTCTGTATCAAATGGAAATCATTATGCAAAATAAAAAAGAGTCATAGCCTGAGAGAGACAATCTTAACTGCTCCTGACAGGGTCTCCTATCAAATGCTTTCTCGGTTAGCAAAAACGGCATGCAGTTACTCTCTTCTCATAAATCATTGTTAAGTGCTGGAATTCCACTCCTGTCAGTGGGGCATGTTGTGTTAAGCCTGCAGCTCTGCTCTGATGCTACAATGCAGTGTGGCACGTGGAGCGCTGGTTTCCTGGACCAGGTGTGTGCGCAGCAGTTGGAGCGCCTGTAGGTTCTGATCGTGTTTCTTTTGTTCTTACTGCTGCTGACAGCATTGAATCTGCAGCCTTTAGGCTTTTACTCCAGACTGTAGGTTATTTTTCAATTTTTTGGCACAGGCTGAAAGCAATTGCCTGATCGAGCCAGATGCTTTTATAACCCGACAGACAGGCAGAGAACAAGAGGGAAGGGGGAGAGCTTCTGGCATCTGCTGGGGGAAAGGGGTGGGCTTTGAGGTCACAAGAATATACAAAAGGTTACAGACAACAGGGGACCATTGAGTCCATTTAAGCTCATTTGGTTATTAGTAGCTGACTTATCCAAGCATCTCAACCACAGCCAGTTCTTGAGAAGAGCCGATCTATCCGCTTCGACAGCTTGACTAGGTAGCTTGTTCCACGCTCCCACCACTCTTTGCGTAAAAACCCTCTACCTTGTTCTTGGTTTTAAATGCATTTACCTGTAGATGGCTTGTTGACTATTAATCTATTTAAATGTAGCTGCAGTGTTACTCTGCAGTAAAAAAAAAAGATATGTCTGTGGGGCTAGATGAGAGGTTGTTGTTAGTGGGACCAGTAGGGGACTCTCACCCCTCAGTCTGTGTGGGTGCTAATGCCCCAGTATAGTGACAGGGACACTATACTGTAAAAAGGCTCCGTTCTTTGGATGAGATGTAATGAGAGTCTCCTGACTCTCTGTTGTCATTAAAAATCCCAGGGCGTTTCTCGAAAAGAGTAGGGGTGTAACCCCAGAGTCCTGGCTAAATTGGCCTTTA